TTTTCCCTTTGTCACAGGACTTCATATGTTTTATTGGCATCCCGTATCCGTATGAACGCCCCAAGCAACAGTCTTTCTTGCACCACCTGCAAGTTGCCCACCACAGTCCGGTCTTCGGGTCCTTCCACTTGTCAAAATTGTTTTGCATAAGGGAAGATGTACTTTCCATATTTAAAATGGTATATGTATAACAGTATAAGTAATTAAGTAGGAATGTAGGATAATAAGAGAAGATGAAGATGGAGAAGAGTTTGAGAAGAATTGGAGAAAAGGTGTAGAAAAATGTTAGAAAATAGATGTATTTATAGGTGTTTTTGAACCCCACTCCCCACACCACCACCCCCGGGACCCCCCTGCCCCCCACCCATAGCCCCAACGGCTATATAGCCGTTTGGGAGCTTTGAAATTTTTTTTTTTTTAAGTTATACACATATTGTAAAATAAATTAATTAATTTAATGAATTAAGTAAAACTAAAACAAATGTTACAAAATAGGTGTATAAGTATTTAAACAAATTACATATTCTAAATGTATTTTTAATTTAAAAACCGGCTTTATATTTTAGAAAAATAATTTTAAGTCGTTAGATTGTAATCAATTAATTAATTTGAGAAGTGCTACATATGAAAAAGTGAACACATATTTATTTGAAATATGAAGTACAAGTTTACAAATTAATTTGAACTACAACTACAAATTTACAATTTTGAAATATGAAGTACAAGTTTACAATTTTGAAATATGAAGTACAAGTATAAATAAATTTGACAAGTGCTATAAAATACATTTTGTACTAAATTCTAAAATACTAATCAATCGGAATCTCCGGCATATGTAGAGCCACCATCGGTTGTTGAGTCATCCATAAAATCTTGGGAGGGGGTGATGCTCAATTCTTGAGTTCTACGTGCGGCCTTCAACCAATCGTGGTAGCATATAAGCGTCTCAAGAGACTCCGCGCTCAATCTCGATCTAGATGCCGTTAGGACGTTGCCGGCCGAACTAAATTCTTGTTCCACCGCAACTGTTGAAACCGGCATTGATAGTACTTGCTTAGCCATCCGTGCTAAAATCGGGAACGTTCTTTCTTTTGACTTCCACCAGTCTAGAACGTCAAAGTCATCATTTTCTTCAAAATCAACTTCATATGTTAAATACAAAGTAATCTCATTCAATGCGCTTTGTTCAGTGACGTGAGTTGTTTTAGTTTTTTTCATAAGATTGCCAAATGCAGATTTAAAAATCGATTTTCCTTTAGATGAAGATGTTCGTGACGGGGGAGGGGGAGCGTTGCTATATTGTGCACGAAACTCATTAAATAAGGCATAAAATAAAGTACTAACCTCGTTGTATTCCGTTTTCGGATCTATGGGGTTATCCTCATACATTGGAAATTCACCGAAAAACGCAAGATAATAGAAGTTGAAACAATCTTCCAAATTAGCAAGTCTATAACGAGGATCGAGAATAAATGCAATACCATAAATATGGGGAATATGCGCATAATATTTTAAAAACTTTTCCTTCATATAATCACAAAATAATGAACGAAAACGGCATTTTGAAATTCTTTAAAAGCATCGGCGAGATTAACAGCTTGTGGAATAAATTGGTTTGCGGTAGGTTTATAAACATGACTAAAAGTTTCAGTAGCATTAAAAAAATATATCAAAACATTACAAATTTTTTCGCAAGTGTCGATCTCAGCCGCGTTTATAATATAGTTATCATGTTCTTTTAAAAAAGCAGGAAAATGTTCTTTATATCTAAGAACAACTTTAAGTAATTTATAAGTACTATTCCAACGAATACTCAAATCTTTAGGAAAAGCAACATATCTCACACCTCTTTCAGTCAAATAACTTTGCCATTTTAATCTAAGTTGACCATTACCCCAAATACGTCTAACCCCCCCCCCCCCCCTATTACCTCCATGGAATCTCCTAACGCTTTTAAACCGTCTTGCACACATAAATTTATAACATGACATGCACACCATTGATGAAAAAATCTACCCATCAAAGAATTGGCACCACACAACTCACGCAATCTAGGTATAGCAGCAGTATTATTAGTAGCATTATCGAAACCAATAGCAAACACCTTATCAATCAAATTATACTCAATTAAAATACGCTCAATCAAAATATAAATATGTTCAGCGGTGTGACGATCATTAAATTCACGAAAAGCAAGAACACGTTTATGCATATTCCAATCCTCATCAATATAATGTGCAGTCAGACCCAAATAATATAAATGATGAAAATCATCCTCCCATATGTCAGAACAAATAGTAACACGCCCATCAAAGTTTGCAAAAAAATTTTGTAACCTTTCCTTTTCCGCATTATAAAGCCTTATTATTTCTTTCTTAACAGTTTTGCGACTATAATTTCTAAATTGAGGATTTAAACTACCTTGTGCATAATCTCTTAAAGCAAGACTTTCAGAAAACAAATAAGGCAAATTTTCTTCACAAATTAAGTTAGCCATACCAGTCAAATTTTGTGCATCATTGTAGGAGAAATTACCAAAAGGTTGAGAATTCGCAAACCTCGATATTTGAGTTTGCTTCCCCGTTCCGCCGCCTAATTTTGCATACTCCACGGGGTGCTTTGCCTTAAGATGCCTTGCGGCGGATCCGTATCCGCCGGAGGTTCCCAAACTATAATTGTTGTTGCACCACTTGCAAGTTGCGTGCCAATAGCCGGTTTGTGGGTCCTTCCATTTATCAAAATTATTTTTCATTAGTTCAGACTTACTTTTTTTATTACCGGTGGCGGTTTGGGATGAGGCAGGCGCGTCGGCGTCGTGGCTGCCGGCACCCTCCTCCTCGGCCGTCTCCGGTTCCAATTCCTCCGCATCTTCATCCTCAAGCTCCTCTTCGTCAATGGTCGTCGGCACTTGTTGTTGTTGTAGAAAGCGGTTATTATGTCGGGCCAATTCTTGTTGGAGTTGTTCTTCGGACATCGCATCTCCATCTCGCCTTTGGTAACCCGTTTCAAAAACATCTCGACTTTGAGATGAAGACCCGGCAAGTTCTTTACCTTTGCGGGATTTCTTCCTCCCAATCTCGTTTCTTCGATTGCGTTGGAGGTTACCCAAATCAACCGAATATCTACCACCTTCCATCTAAAAAATGTAACAAATATTAATTCACAACAAATATAATAATGGATACAAAACTAATGCAACTAATTAAAACTATTTTAATTAATACTTCAAACTAATTTTTTGCAAAGTAGAATTAATGTGTGTCTCTACAATTAAAATTATAGCAACTTTTGAAGTAAATAACTAGTACAAGTAAAAATGTAACAACAATGCTAATTAAGTAGTTAACTAGTATAGTGACAAATGTAACAAACTAACAACTAGTTAAATAAAATGTGAAGTATTTTAATTAGTATAATGAAAAATGTAACAAGAATGGTATTGAACTAATTAACTAGTATAATGAAAAATGTAACAAGAATGCTAATTAAGTAATTAACTAGTATAATGAAAAATGTTACAATAATGGTAATGAACTAATTAACTAGTATAATGAAAAATGTAACAAGAATGCTAATAAACTAATTAACTAGTATAATACTAGTTATAGTAAGTAATATATATTATAATGTTTATATTATATAATATATAAGTATACTATACTATACGATGAGTAATACACTTATATTTTATACTTTAATATATAAAATATATATTAAGTAGATGTAGAATGTATGTATTAAGTGGATATAATAATTGTATAAGAATTAAATATTAGAGTATAATGGAGAATTGGAGATTGGAAAATAAGTATATAATATAAGTAGAGAAGTAGATATTATTATGTATTAAGTATATAGTAATAGTTTATAAAGTATATTTAATACTTTATTATATAAAGTATAAATTAAGTAGATATAGTATGTATGTATGTATTAAGAGATATAAGTAGAAATTAAGTAGATAAGAAATATAAGCAATATAGTATATGTAGATAATAATATATATAAGTAGATAATTAATATATAAGTAGATATAATAATTGTATAAGTATTAAATAGTAAAATAAAATATAAAGGAGAATAAGAGAATTAGAGAAGATGAATATGGAGAATTGGAGAATGGAGATGAGTAGAGAGTAGGATTTAGAAGAGTTGGAGAAGAGGTGTGAAAAAATGTTTAAAATTAGGAGTATTTATAGGTTTTTTTTTTAACCCCCACCCCCACCCCACCCCCCACCCAAACCCCCCTGACCCCCCCCCCCCCTGGTACCACCCAACGGCTATATAGCCGTTTGGGGTGGTTGTTGAGCCAAAAGAATCCAAAAAAAAAAATTTTTTTTTTTAAATATTGGACCGTTAGGCCCGGGCCCGACCCGGCCGGGCCGGGCCTCCAAAACCAGGACCCGAGCCCGGTCCCGCTAACCCGACCGGGTCTCTGCCCGAACCGGACCCGAGAACCGGGCCGGTTCCGGGCCCGCACAGTGACGGGCCGGGCGGCCCGAACCGGGTCCACGCCTACCCCTCGTACCCCCTCCAACGGCTATAGAGCCGTTCGAGTGCCCTCCCAACAACTAGATGGTTCAAAGAAATTTAAACAAAAAAATTTGTAAGGCCCGAACCGGGCCGGGCCCGGCCCGGCCGGTTCACCATCTGAAGGGCCCGAGCCCGGACCGCTTGCCTACCGGGCCAGGCCGGTTCAAACAGTAACTGGGGCAAGCCGGTTCCGGGGCGGGCCGCCCGAGTCCAGGCCTAGTGATATTGATACAAGTGACAATGTAGTGCTTATAATAAATATAAATCATTTTTTTATTCTCCAATAATTAAAGAAAAAATAAGGACTGGAGCAGACCGGGACCGGCCGGATAGACTGGACCAGAACCGGGTCCGTAGTAACCCGGGCCGATTCCAGTCCTCCATATCCAAAACCGGAACCGGCCGGTCTGGGACTGAAACCGAACCGGGTCCGAGTCCATCCCTAGTAACAAACAAGATCACTAATAAAGTAATACCAAGGAAGAACTTGGAAAACACATCAACTTGAGAATGTAGCAATAAGCCAATGACGCAAGGTCACTAGACACCAAAAAATGTGAAAGGTAAACTACAAAAAAAACTATAGTAAAGGGGGCGGTGGACTGTATTTGAGTGCTGTCTTATTTCCAAAATACATCAAAGAATTGTTGAAAGATGGATTCACTTCATCATCATCACCTAACCTATTGAAATACAACCCAAAGTGCCAAACTAATTGAAAGTTGCACTGTAGCATTATTATTTTTAAAAATATCCTCCAAGATGGACCCCAAACGTTCATAGCGAAAAAAGTGGGATTGAAGGATCAATTGACAACATCAACAACCAGCTTCCTTGACTTGAGAACCGACCACCTCAACCGCCGGTAATATGCTGCTTGAAGAAGTGCAAGTGATAGCACAAATATCCACTTGAACCCCATCTGCCCACACAACAAAGGATCAGATAACATGTTTTTACAATATACATTGTGCACGCATACACGCTGACATACACACAGCATTATAAAGGAATAGCAATTGCAAAAAGGGGGTATATAGATGCAAGAAAAATGGGAAGGAGCAGTAAAATACTGACATACCAGTTTTCTCTCTTCCATTTCTGGCTCAGCAGCCCATGACAAAAATGATACAACATCTTTTCCCATCTGCACATTCAACATAGTATTACATGCAAGCCTTGGAGAAAAAGTAGATATGATATAATGCAAAAAGCAGCAGAAAGATATTTACCTGTGCTTCTGTTGCAGGAGTACCATCTTCATATTCAACAGCACCATCGTTTAGCATTTTAGGCATAGCAATTGCACCACCAGGGAAGTAGGGGTTATAGTGAAGCCCTTCACGAATCTGCAGCAAGTGATTTGTCATAAAAAAATATGTGCACTTTAAACCCTTGTACAACATCAAAAACAAAAATTAAACCCAAAAATTAAACCCTGTACTCTAAAATCACCCAATCAACCCCACCAAGTTGTAAAAAACACTCAAATCGGCATTTTAAGCAATCACATTCTGGTTTTCTATTTGTGAGCTTAGGATGTTTTTACTTGGACTGTAATTTGTTGATCTGGTCTGTTTATGTCCGGTATGGTTTGGTTGTTTAAGTATGGTCTGGTTTGAACTGGTCTCGTAAACATCTAGGTCTCTGTGTATTTTATAACTACGAAAGTCAAGTCTGGACTGTTTAAGTCTAGTCTGGTCTGTTTAAGTCTGGTCTGTTTAAATCTGGTCTGGTCTATGACTGAAAACAGTCCAAGTAAAAACATCCTTACCTGGTTTGCAAGTGGGGCATTATTTTTAATTATTTTCAGATTTTCTTTTCAAATCAACCTCATCTTTTGAGCTTCTCCTTTGCCCAGATGGCGAGTGGATTGATGGTCGGGAAATCTAAGCTTCACCTTTATTCAATTGTGCATCTTTTTCTTCAATCGAATTGGATGGCGGATGGACATGGCACAAAGCCTCTTTTCTTTGTTCACCTCTTTCAATCGTTTTCTTTTCTATTCTTTTCTTTTCTTTTCTTAGGTATACCTTTGTCATTCGTCTTCAAGTTGTTCGTACTATGTCCTTGTTCATCTTTGAATCATAGGTACAGGGATCGCAGAACTGCCCGCGATTTCCGATCCGGATCACGCGTACCGGATCGCGGTACAAACGCGTACTGATCGCTTCTGGATCGCGCTTCGGATACGGTGGATGGATCCTGATGGCAGTTCGCATTCTTGTTCAAGCAGGTACGGCGATTCCAGTGCATCGTTCGCTCGTACCCTCCAGTGTCCAACGATCCGGCAGTCCAAGCGTCCTTATTTTTGAATTGTTTTTTCGAACTCCAGGCCATGGTCGTTGACTAACAAGCTTCACAGTTCGTATTTTTACGAATTTCACACCTAAAAAAACTAAACGACCCGACCCCTGATAGTCTGAAACGACTTTTCACACTTCACAGTTCAGGCTTTTCATTTGTATTTCACCATGGTCATGCGTATATCACACTTATTTAAAGGCCTTACCTCACTACTCATCGTATCAGCCTCTCTGCACCTCTCTGTTCTCTACTCTACTCCTTCACTGTCCGAGACTTTCTTTGCTTCAGTATTCTTTTCTTCAAAATGGTATTTGGCAAGCGTAAATTGCTAGAAACACAGTCAGATGATATCACTGATATGACCCTGAGTGATGATGAAATAATAGAAACTGCTCCTACTCCAGTTTCTACAGAAGAGGTCTGCACCGGAAGTCAAAGTTCTTCAAAACAGGACAGCAAAGATGACAGACCTTTATTAGAAGAGATAACCTTTGTTGGAGCTCCAATCTCTAAAAATGCAGGGGGTTGCAAAGTTTGGATATGTAAGCATTGTAATAAAAAATTTACAAGCTCTTACACTAGAATACATGTCCATTTCTTTGGTTCTCAACCGGGGAAGAAGGCTGAAATCAAACGGTGGCCTGCTATGCTCAGCAATCAGAAGTATGAAGGATTGTTGAAGAAAGTGAAGGCGGCTGAAAAATCGGGAATCTCTAGATCCTTGAAAAACTCTGTGCTCAATAAACCACAAAGTATCCCTTCAAAAAAACCAATTCAAGACTCCTTTGGAATAATGGAGAGAAGTATGGTGGATTTGAAAATCGTGAGAGGATTGTGTGCAAATGGCATTCCTTTTAATGTCTTACGCAATCCTGAATTCATAGAAATGGTAACTGCCATCAACAAAGCACCCGCGGGTTATAAACCTCCATCCAGTGAAAAGGCAAGAACTGTTTTGCTCGATGAATGCGTGAGAGATGTGGAAAAAGACCTCACACTGATTAAAGATACGTGGTATTCACAAGGTGTTTCTATCGTATCCGATGGATGGTCAAATATTAAGCATAAGCCTTTGATCAATGTCATTGCCGTTAACAGTCACGGTGCTATGTTCATGTACGCGGATGACTTCTCTAGATTAGAAAAAACCGGTGTGGCAATTGCAAAATTCTTGCTTGAAGCAATTGAAACCGTAGGACTGAACAATGTCCTTCAAGTTGTGACCGACAATGCATCGAATTGCAAAGCTGCGGGTAGGGAAATCGAAAAGGTACATAAACACATCTTTTGGTCTCCTTGTTGTGTTCATACCTTGAATCTGATTTTCAAAGATCTAGCCAAGGAACTTGATTGGTTGATGAATACATATACGAGAGGGAAAGTTATTGTGAAATATTTTCTTAATCACACTCAAGCTTTGGCAATTTTTAGAGATAATTCAAAGCTGGAGTTGTTGAAAGTTGCCAAGACTAGGTTTGCATCACATTATATTTTGTTGAAAAGTTTAAGGGATTGTAGAGAGGCTCTTGCTACAACAATTGCCCTTAATTCTTGGAGGGATTGGGTAAAGCAAGGGGATGAAAACGCAAGAGTGACTGGATTGTTAGTCGCTGATACTATTAAGAGTGAGGAATTTTGGGATGATGTGGATAACATTCTTGCAATAACAAAACCAATTTTCTTGCTAATTAAGTTTTGTGATGGCGAAGGATCCAAAATGGGGGAAATCTATGAAAAAATGGATAACATGCTAGGAGAAATAAAAGATATCATGGCTACAAATCCATATGCTTCGGACTTTCCAAAAGTAGAGGCTATTGTTTTAGCTAGGTGGGAGAAGATGACTATTCCTTTGCACTGTTTGGGTTTTGCTTTATCCCCGTGATTTTATGATGTCTGCAATCTCGAGAAACTAGCACCCAGTGGAGTTGCTAGAAAAGCTCCAAATTTAGACAAAGAAGTTGTGCTTGGTGTCATGGAGGCTTTTAAAAAAATTGGTGAAAACCAAGAAGAACAAAGGCTCTTAAGAGAACAATTTGCAAGGTTTCACATGAAGAAGGGATTATTTTCTATGGAGGCAGCTCAAATGGATGCGGTGACTATGGAGGCCATCGATTGGTGGTCAACATACGGTTCAGAGACTCCTGAGTTAGCGGAGGTTGCAAAAAAAGTTCTGTCACAACCTATAAGTAGTTCCTCGGCTGAGAGGAATTGGAGCACTTACTCTTACATTCACAGTGTGAAGAGGAATCGTTTGAATTGTAAAAGGGCTGACAAGTTGGTATTCATTCATTCAAACATTCGTCTTCAATCAAGATTTTCCGAAAGTTACAAAGTTGGCCCGAACAAGAAGTGGGATATTAATCCCGAAAGTACGTATGTGGAAGGGTCAAGTGCAAGACTCGATGAGCTACAATGGGAAGATTTAGAAGATGTTGCTCCAAATGATAATGGAAAGAGGCAAAGGATTGATTAGTTTGATGCACTTTCATGTTTTGTTGAAGTTTGTTTAATGTTTATTTCTTGTTTTGTTGAAGTTGTTGCTGGAATTCTGAAACTTTGTTTACTGTGTTATATCTTTTATTGTTGTTGCAAACATTGTTAAGTTTTTTTAATGTTATTGAAGTTATAGAAGTTAATTGTTTAATATTATATTAATTATATTTATAGTTTTATAATTTATACTTAGTAAATTATATGGGAAAATGGAAACTAATAATCCAACCTTTTAGCGGTCTTCTTACAATAATCCAACCTTTTGATTATTCATGAATAATCCAACCTTTGCACCTCATCTTCATTCACTGGTCCCTGACTGGTTGATGACCTGCTATTCCAAGCTATTTTCTTATCTTTGCAAATCATTATACCATAAATCTCATCTTTCACAAAGATAATATTTTGCAAAGGTAAGAAAATAACTTGGAATAGTAGGTCATTAACCGATCCCGGACCAGTGAATGAAGATGAGGTGCAAAGGTTGGATTATTCATGAATAATCAAAAGGTGGGATTATTGAAAGAAGACCGCTAAAAGGTTGGATTATTAGTTTCCATTTTCCCTAAATTATATATGTTATGGTTCACCGTACCATAAACAAAGGGTACAGCGTACCGCGTACCGAAGAAGCCTACCCCCCGCGTATCGGATTTCTAATTTTGGCGATCCGCGTTCCCGTTTTCATACCGCGTACCAAAGCGTACTGCGATCCATGTGACTATGGTCAAGCTTCTCTTCTTTTATCGTTTTACCTCTAATTGCTTCCGTCTTCAACTCAGTTTGCATGCGCCACAGCTGAAACGGATGGACACCAATAGCCGGCGAAGAAGTTTTCACCATTTGGGCTTTGTGTCCTTTATAAACACTAAATGGTAGCAATTTGTTTTCAGGTTTCTGTGGATTGTAAGAATTGGAGGAGTGTTCCAATTGTAAAGGAACCACACTATCTTGTGGACAGGGCATCGTGTAGACAAAGGTGCCTCCCCAAGAATCCAAGATGTTGAATTGCCTCATGCAAGTATTCTGGTTTTATCAACTAATGGCTCGAAAGTATAGTCGACCCATTGATATTTAATCTATATGAAGAAAATTTTACTGCTATTCTAATGTTGATGCCACATGGGCGGCAACATAAGCATTTAACAGGTTAACTGGTTGGTAACTTGTTAAAACGCAATTTTGGATGGCTTTTTAAAGTTTGAGGGGTTGATTGGATGACTCTATAGTATGAGGGCTTAGATTCTGTTCTTGATATAGTATGAGGGCCTATTTGACAGTTTTCCTTTCCGTTTCAATAAAATTTTATGGGGTTATGTCTAAAATATCACAAAAAAATAGTTATGGACACAAAAGAGACTATTTTTAGTTCCAAAAATGAGACTAAAAATACAAAAGGGACCATTAGACCCTTACTAAGATTAAGCCCAACAGACCATCTACAGTACCGGCTACAGTAAGCAAAACTGTAGTGACCAATGTCAACTATCTTACTATATACAAAGTAGCGTGGAAATGATGCAGAGTTTTCCTGCCTAAACATGAGAGTAAAAATGAGTGGTATTCCTTTCATTATGTTGTACCATTACGTGGTTAGTCCTTCGTCAAAGAGAAGTGAGTAATGTGAAAGATCTATTCACGTACATGCTAGTAGTAAGTAGTAACAGACATGGGGCCACCAAAATGAAAATTCCATTTTTTTGAAGTATTATAACTTTTTTTTATTCACCAATTTTTCTAAAAAACATATCAAATTTCATAATTTTTTATTATCTTTCATTTGACACCAATATTGCATTTATAAATTTAAAAATATAAATTTCAGCTTTTACAAAATTGTGGTCCCAAAAATTGACAAAAAAATGGCAAACAATAATGTATCTATATATCTATATGTGTACAAAGCTAAGTGGAAAGAATGAAAAGTGGGCCTAGGTTATCACAAAATTTTAACAATTTTCTTTGAAATCATTCTCAAGTGAACGATTAAAATGGTGTGCTTAAATACGTGATACATGGAGGAACGGGTATGGTTGAAGTTTGTGCAGAGTAGAGAGAAACCAGAATAACCACAAATTACTCACTTTAATAGGAAAGTGACAATTTTTTTGGGACAACCAAAAATGGAAAATTGGCAAAGTCCAATGAGACGAAGAGAGTAATTCTTTTATTTGTTATCTAATTTTTATAAAAAATGTGTCAAATGTCATAACTTTTTATAATCTTACATATGACACTAATATTGTACATAAAAAATTATAAAATTTCAATGACTGGAGATTTTCGATCTAATATTTTTTCTCACATGGATTAAAGTACAAAAAAGAACATCTCATAATTAAAATATGTTATTTAAATCTTTCGGTTATTTAAAAAATAGGATTAAAGTACTAAAAAATAAATTAAACTTCAAATTTATTTATTTTTACATCAGAATGTTTGTAATTTTAAATCATAATTATTCGCAAAAAAAAATAATTACTTTTTAATAGGTGTTGCTGTTACGTGTGTTTTATGCGAAATAGGTTTTGTATGAAAGTTGTATTTGACTTTGTATTTTTTTAAATAAGTTGTATTTTTTTAATGAAAAAAATAAGATTTTGTATAATATAAGCAGGAAATTTGTTCAATGTTACTCCGTAAGTTTTTGAAAATAATGATAATTACTATTAACCCCTTGAGGGAAAGTCAAAATTATTAATTCAATGTTGCAATTATTTACTCCTTGAGAAATCAATTATTTACTCCTTGAGTTTTGTTTATTCAAACTATTTACCCCGTCAACAGTAATCACATTTAACTTTATACATTGTTAAATCTAATGAAAGTTTTCTAAAATATATGATTATAAATAACAAGGTATCCAATCTTTAACATCTTTCACTTCCTTTACATTTTTCCATATTATTTTTTCATTATTATGTAACATCAATTTTTCACTATCACTATAATGTTTTCATCTCACCATTGAATTAAATCATTCCTTTGCTTTGTTTCTTTTTCACTAATTCATAAAAATAAATTATTCAGGATGTATTCCTAATGTACAAAGTATGTGTAGATTACTATCACATTTTACTTTTTATGATAATACGGAGTATCATATACTCCTATCTCTAAATAAACTTCAAGATTTCTTTTTATAGGTTCTGGTATATATTTTATCTTTCTTTTATGGAAAAGAATATGTGATTCATAACTTTTTTGTTTCATCTATACAACTAAAAACAACAAAATTTCTACCATTTAATCGCCTTGACCAATTAAAATTAATTAATTATGGGACGAAGAGATTAACATTTTTGCCTTTTCATTTTATAAAAATTCTCACTCCGTGCATCGCACGGGTGAAAAGCTAGTTGCCACAGTGACCAGTGACAGACTGAAAGTGACACATATGCCCAGTGAAAGTGGCACATATGTCCGGTGACAGTGACACTTACTCCAGCCACAGTGACCTACCATGGACTTCGGCCACACTAACCGCCGTGGGCGCCAATTACCCCGCAGCCTCCGCCAGTGACAGTTGCTCTATTGGCAGTGACTAACGTACCTCAGTTACAGTTACTCCCAGACTTCCAGTGACCTGATTTTCAAACAAGTTTAACAGTGACACCACCACTCACCGCGGCTGCTGCCGGCTCCACCGGCTGCTGCCCCGCGGGCAACACGACCTCGCCGCCACCGCCGCCCCATACACTTACCCCTTCTTCCTGCCCCACACCCTAACCCCTCCCCTAATCCCCTGCCTCACCCCCTGCTCTGCAAGGCTGCAACCTGCCTTCTCCCCCCTCTCGAGCTCCGACCAGCCCCACCCAGCCCCAATCCGCTCCAACCAGCCCACCCAACCCCGATCTGCTCCTCCCCAGCCCCAACTCACCACCACGAGACCCTAGCAGCCTTAGCCAAAAACCCTAGCCGGCCTAGCAGATATGGAAAGTAGCCGTCTGCAATTGACCCGCCGCTGTAGCCTAGCCGGAGTTATCCTCGTCTGCCCAGCACTGCTGCCGCCCGCCCACTCGGATTTGCCCCATTCGCTCTCAAACAGAAAACGAAGAAAAAGAATGGTAGCTGGGATGGCAGATGGACGGAAAAGACCATCTCAGGAGGGCGACGAAGACAGAGGGCGGCGGCAGCATGGTTGTCATGGCGTCGCCTAGTCGGCGACTAGGCGTCCAGGCGCTGGGGGAAGCTCGCCTGCTACACTCGCCTCGCCAGAAGAATACCAGTCAGGTATGGCGTCGCCAAGTCGTCGCCAAGTCGATGTGTTGGCGATGGAAGGCTCGCCTAAATTGCAAGTCGATGATACTGGGCCAAAAGTCCAGAACCCAGAATAAAAGGGAAAATAGATTTAGGAAGCTAATTTAATTAAGGCTTCAGATTTTAAGCCCATGGTATTCAGTATTTTACCTTACGGATGCCTAATTGCCCAAGTCGTAGCCAAGCTTAATCGTGACTAGCTGAGCAATAAATCTAGTGTCAACCAATTGAATAAAACTACTTCACACAATAAATTCATGCAGTAAAGCATAGAGGATCAAAAAGAAAATTACCGAGACACCAGCAGGTGGATCACGATAGCCGGTAAGAAGTGCAAAAACATAATTTTGACCATTGTGACGGGCCTGTATTGAAAAAAATGTTTCAATTAAAAGATGAGAATCCCTTTATCATCAAATTAATTATTCAAAAAAGAGCTAAAAGGTTAAAAGCATTCATGCCTTCGTAATGAGACTTAGATCAGGTGGATAAGCCCCTCCATTAGCAAACCTTGCAGCAGCTTCGTTTGCATAAGGCTGTGGAAACCGATCACTGAGCTTTCCAGGACGTGTGAACATCTCGCCTTCATCATTAGGGCCATCGACCACTTCAATCTCAGCAGCCATTGCCTTTGTTTCTTCCTCAGTGTATGCCACACCAACAAGATCGCGATATGAAACCAGTGACATTGAATGGCAAGATGCACACACTTCCGTGTAAACCTTGTGACCTCGACGAATTCTGTTACCACAAATCAAGTTAATGACAACAAATACGAGGGTGGTTACTCTTAAGTCTTAACAGACATGGGCTAAACAAAACAAGCAATATGAAGCCTAACCCCATTGGAGAGTAATGTGAAATTGCAGCAAAATGAACATCTCAAACTTGCCACCCATTGAATTTTTATAAAAGTGCACATACAGAGGTATCATACAAAGTGACTCTTTACCCTAAATTTAAGATAACATTGTATGTAGAGTAGAAAGGGATGATATTGGCAATTTGGAACATTAGGGGGGAATGCATTGAATTCCTAAAACGTCAAATATTTTGTGACAAAAATGTTTGGCTGAAATGACAATTAATTTGGGAAGGAGGGAGTATTACTATTACTATTATTGTTTTTGTTGTTGTTCTTTCTTTGGCGGGGGTAGGGGCTGTTGGAAGGACCCCAATGAAAAAGCCTATGATCATAACTTGACCTCACATTCTTTATACCACTTTTCTAAATCATTTAAACACCTTTGCACATGCACTGAATCTACTTACGAAGAGTGGTCATATGAGCTGAGAATGCCTTTGTGAGGCCATGGATAGCTTGGAGACTCTAAGCCATGCTCTGCTTCATCTGAGTAAGAAATTGTTGCAAATCCAATAAGCCCGGAAACTCCAGCACCAAAGAGCGCTAATGCTCTGAAGGACTTCATACCAGCAGAGCCCATCCCATCTTTGTCAATCTTTTGTGAGAGAAAAGGGGGAATAAATAATCATCAGCCAACACACACATTAGGCCTGGGACCGGTTTGGTTCCTCATTAAAATTGGTGGAACCGTTAAGAAATAACTAACTCTTAAATTCAGTTCGGTTCTAGTTAAAAAATGTAGAACCGTTATGGAACCGAATCATATCTTAACGGTTCAGTTCTTGCATTTTATCAGTTCCTTAAAATAAATAATTTTTCAATGATACATAAGTTTAGCGTTACAATCATATGACACATCAATGTTCAAATATTAAAAATTGAAAACTTAACAAGAAGTCCAATTTGTTTCATACATAATTAAAATATCCAACTTGAAAACTTAACAAGAATATCCTATTACAGTTTTAATGGAGCAATAAGGGTGTTGTAGATGCCCCGTGTAACAAGAATTAATGCCCAACTTCAGCAACTCAAACCTGAAAGTAATATTGTAAATTGACATTAAGTTGACAATGAATAAGAGTCGCAACAATATCTTTCCTTAAACAAAAATAAAATTCATCTATAAACAACTATCAACATGATGCAACACAAAGCAACAAAATGCAACAAAAAGCAACAGGTCGCAACAAAATGCAACACATACAATTCAACAAAAGGAAACAAAAATAACATCTAAAACTTTCATAGTGAATATATAATTTAATTATTACATCCATTCAATGTACTGTATTATTTAGCTCTGCATCTCTTATCACCTCTTCTATTTATGCATCTAACACATAGTTCTTGAGATCTGGCTCCCTTTTCTTGTTTTACTCATGGATCATCCCAGTTTTTTTTATCACCTACATGTGCTTATTTTCCTTTTATCCGTCTGCAATACAATCACTATGACACAAATATGACAACAAAATAAGAATTGTGGCATACTAATCATCTGTAACAAATAACTATGGCGGTAGGAAGTGTACAATTATAATAACTGTAGCAAAGTAAGAACACAGTCACTATGAACGTTGAAAGTGCTTATCAGTTTCCCTTTTTAATTTCTGTAACATTCTCAACCAAAGATCCAAACGAGGAGATTCCTTACCCCAAAAGTAGAGTTTTCCGCTCCTCTGGCTTTGCAATCACACGAGGGAGGCGACGACTGAGGACGACAATGTTGTCCACAATAGTTTTCGAAGGAGAACTAAACCTGCACAGATCCGATCTTGAGTCTGCATCTTATAAATTCCAAGCTGCCACTAATGGTGAGATTCATTAAATCTTCAATCGGCAGATACCTCATATCGATGTGGAGGAACGACTGGCGACCGGCCAGGTGGAGCTACGGTGGCAGAAGCGATGACACTGGTCTGGAAGCACGACGACTCAGCAACCAAGGAGATGAAAGCGGGAACTTGCCTGGTCGATGGCCGAGGGAGAGGTCAGAAGAGAAGAGCAGGAGATTTTTTCGTTGGATGTAGAGTGTGATTGATACGGAGAATGGCAAAGCAGTCTAAAAATGAAATAAAAAATGAAAAGAAAAAATAGCGGAGTAATTTCCACAAGTAAATTGGCCAGCCCATTACTTGGCTGAATATCGTCCGGCCCAATTTCAAGTTATTTCATCTTTGACTTCTGTTCCACCTCTTGTTAGAGGATCTTATTATTTAGTGGAAATTACCCATTCGGATCACTTTTGAGTGCCACATATCTTTTATGTCCCAATTCTTTTTACTTTTCATTTTTAAACTTTCTTGTTTTCAATTATGTTATATTATTTCACTTTTAACTCCGTTTTCTATTCTACCTATTATTCATATATGAGAGAGACGATGCAACGCAAATTTAAGGACAGTCGTTTGAAGACCGCCTAGAGAACAAGGTGGGGACGAAGTGGAGATCGGCCAAGCGGAGAATTGCGGCGCAGGAGGAACGAGCTTTGAGCGGCGGCTATGCTAAGGGGCGGGCGGCAACTGTGCTAAGCGGAGGGAGGGATAGAGGCGGAGTTCATAATCAGGACAATTCGCCGGTGGCCGTTGAATCGGTCTGCACCTGGGATGCGAGTTAGGCCAGGTTCTTCATTCGACATCTGTAATTCCAGATCTGTTTTCCTTTCCCAAACAAATTTTCCATTTTTTGCAGAAATTAAATTCCATTTTTTGGAATTCCTTTTTGGCTGAATTCTGAAATTGTTGAGTAAAAAAAACTAATAGGTGGCACCGGAAGACGCACTTAGAGGCAATCCCTGTTGGTAGGAGTGATTCTCATTCAGGTTGACAATTTTTTGTGATGTATTTTTTAATTTTCTAAAAAATATTTATTTCATATATTGCTAAATGATGTCATTTTGGCTGTTTAGAATAATAATTGTTTGACAGTTTTCACATTTGCGGCATTTAATTTGAGATTTTTGTGAATGCAAGAGTTGTATGAGATGCCTCCATTATTTGACAGGTCTATTTTGATGGTTGAGTTATTTAGTTGAGAGCTTTACAATATTTGGTAACTCAAAAGAGTTATTTGATAGGTTTGACATTAGTTGACGGTTAAAGAGGCATGAGAGCTCTTACAAGTTGTCTTCTACATAGTAAATAGAGATATTTGTTGACAAATTATATACACATTTCCATAAAAAAATAGGGAATGTTTCACTCATGGGGATCTTTGCTTTCAATATACTTGATGCTTCAAATTAAAAATTGTTCCCCTCACCAATGGAAAACGGAACATCAACCTCAAATGAAATATCTACTAGGCCGGTCAAGTTATTTTCTCTTGATTGTTTTTTTTTTCAACTCGTGATGGTGCCATTGTTTATTGTTTCTATACTTTTGGCAGGTCTTAGTGTTTCTCTTCTCACGGTTACTTTTTTGTCATTGGACATTTACTTTTTCTATTTGACATTTCTTTTGCAGACTAATATGACACAATGGTCAGGAGCAAGCCTTCCTCTTCAGGTTCATTTGTCCATGACAACATTTAATTAAGATTATGTAAATCATGTGGCCATCTGTTGCATGCACTCTTTTTTGCTATTCAAAACTTGCATAATACTAATGTTTTGCAGGAGGTAAACTTTATGCTGTTGGAAAAGCTTGTTGCAGCTGGAATTGGAAAGTATCCCATTGTTTTTGTGACTCATAGGTTGGTCTATTCTTTTCTTGGGAAATTTTATTACCAATGTAATTTGTGTTGGACTAATACAATTTGCATTCAATTGGCAGTAAGAGGAGCATTGTTGATATTGCACATGTTATACACAGATTCACACATATCTTTTCCTAATCGTTCAGATGGCAGTTAGTGTGCTTTTTGTTGATATGGAAATACAGGCACAAAAACAAATCAGTTGGCAAAAAAATATTTCTGGATTTTCAGTAGTCAGTAAAGGAATTATTGGAGTTGTTGGTATGGAAGTGTCTGTATCATTAAGAGTAAAAAGGGAATAGACATTTCATGGCTCACTTATCATCAATCTCTCTCTCTCTACACTGTTCTTATGAGTTCTTGTATTATCTTTCAGGGTGCTTTCACTGGAGTTTGTACAGCCCAACACATGCCTAGCTATAAGAGTAACATTGACAAGTTTAAGGCCAAAGGAGTTGACACAGTGATCTGCGTAGCTATCAGCGATCCATATGTAATGAATGGATGGGCGAAGAAGCTTCAAGCAAAAGATGTTGTAAGTCACTTGATTGAGTTTCTGAAAGTATAAATTGCAGTCCAACAAGTTCTCTTTCACAGGAACTTGAGGGATTTACAAATAAACATTGTAATCTTTACCACGTGTTAGATACTTTATTACATTGCTCTACTGGTCTCTGAATCTACAAGTCAGTGCTAATACAATTGAATTTCTACTAAAATCTGTCTCAAAAGTGACATGTGGATCCTAGTATAGCAATATATTTTAACATTAGTTGCTCATAATCTTGTTTATTTATTGAGTCCACTCGACAGAACCTCCAGTGTAACTGAACAAAATTGTTGATGAATGTGTTGCTCGTGTTGCAGCCATGTTGGAAGTGATGGAGCCATTTTCTAGTGTTATGTAAAAGATTGGGTATAGTGATTACATATGTGAGGAGAAAGGTCTTCTTCAACTAGGGAGAATGTCTTAATAACTACAAGTGATCACCGTGCTTGCGTCCATGAGGCACCGTGCCAATACAAGTGACATACAGGATATAGTAAATTGAAATAATATATTAAACTGTATATTTGTTGTGAAATTATATATACGTGTAGTATTATATTTTGTTGCTTTTTGTTGTATCACGTGTATTGCATTTTGTTGCATCTTGTTGTTTTTTGTTGCACTGTGTTTCTGATTGTTGTTGGTTTAGATTTTTGTTGTTTATTTAGATATTTATTTATTTTTCTACATTCTTAAAATAGAAATATCTAGATAGATTTAGATACAACCACTAAAAATGTTCAATTTTGATTTATGAATAAGAAAAAAACTAGAAACATAAAGAAACAATAAAAAACAAATATTTCAGAAATGTCAACAAAAAGAAACACAAAGAAACCACATGCAACAAAAACTAAAAATAAAATGAATAATAATTCAAAATAATTATACTTTAAGAAACATTACATTACCATAAAAAATGAAGCACTACATTCAAAAGCAAGTTTTTTTTTTTAATTTTTGATTTTTTTTCACGTTCATTATTTTAGTTTTCCATTTTTCCTCTCTGAGCTTATTTTAATTTTCACTGTTTAAGTTACATTACCTTTCTATTTTTTAAAGCTTTATATAGTATATTTTACCAAATTTTTTATGTAATAGATAGATAATTTATTTTAAAATTTTAGAATGTTTTTTAAATTTATACGTGTACTTGTTTTTTTATTTTTTAATATAATTTTTTCAAATTTTCTTAAAAACATACTTTTTAATAAAAGTTTCAAATTACTTTTCATGTTAGTAAGCCTTTTAAAACATTTTTATCTTGTTTGAATTTTTTTAAAAATTACAAGGTTTTTTTTAGTTTTTTATTCATTTTATACTTTTTTAGGAAAATTTCAATTTTTATATTTTTTTTTTACCAAACTTTGAACCTTTTTACAATTTCTCATTTTTAAATCTTTTGTCATATCTTTTTAAGTTTTTTATATGTTTTTATTTTTCTGATTTTTTTTAAATTAAATTCATTTTCAACTATTTTTCAAGTTTAATTTAAAAGTTTCCATTTTTTTCTGTTTTCTTTTTTGTTTTTTTTTTCGAGTTTGTTTTGTGTTTTTTGTTTTTAAAAATTAAATTTCACTTGACAGAATTTTATAGTTGTTATACGAAGTGTGCATTACCATATTTTTGAATTTTTCGTTTTCCTATTTAAAACAAAAAACAATAATTCCTGCATTTTCTATTATGAAAGAGGAGTAAAGTTCCAAGCTTACGTGCCAAATGAATCCAAGATTCCAAGCTCAAGTGCCAAACTGCCAATAGAATCCAGTAAGTGTACTTCATACGGAACCGGAAGGTAAAGTCTATTTGTGAAAGAAAAATCTTTCCGTAGTTATATTTGAAAAGAATTTTAAGAGGGGACAAATGTGATATATTTTTTATGTTTTAGACTATTTGTGAAATTTTCCCTATTATTTAGACGGTGACAACTCCGATATCTTTCTAAAAACAGGGGTACCGTACCTAGCATTCATTTGATTGGATCATATCACTTTATCAATTTTAATTTAGATTTAAATAATTCAACTGATACCTTTTCATTGGTCCATGTGGACAAAGGTATGGTACCTTATGGGTACCATAGAAACTACCTATTTAGATTTATTTAACATTCCTTCTTTCAGATGTTTGGTGTAATTCTTAAGAGGTTTGGTACGGTCCCCCTATTATTTTTGTATTTCAGTTTCCAATCTTAATAAAATTTGGTAAATGTTCCCTCGACATTTACCCCACTGATTTTGGTGGTTTGCCTTCCGGTGTAAAAAAAACAAAAAAAAACTATTTAATCGTTTTAGTGATGGGATATAAAAATTATCACTTCAGAATACCTAGAAATACAAAATGTGTAACACCGTCCCCAAGTGTATTTACTTTTAAGTGAATATTGTATTTTAACCTTATGGAATGGTTGACGAATTTACGAGGTTATGAATTTTTATTAATTTTGCCTGAATAATAAGTTCGCGCGTGGGGCCCGCACCGGGAGCGGGGGCCGCCCGATATTCCCGGGACCACATAAATTATTCATCTTGGTCTAGATAATATTTATATGGTGGTGGATAATTCTTTTGAACCATGGAAAGGTCTTGAGTTGACCGATTGGTCAAAAGAGGCCCAAATACCGGTATTGGCAATTTAACGGATAATAGCCCGAAATTGAATTTCGGAGACCTATAAATTAAAGTTGGGGAATGTATATTCACTATGAGAGTCATAATGATTGAGAACACGTAATATATTTTATTTGACCCGATAAAATAAAATATATTTAAAACAGTCCGAAAAATACAACTTTCGGGACCAATTGTACACTTCGGAACAAAAGGGGTTGACCTCCCACATGTGTGGGGGCCAACCCACGAAATTTTCCATACAAAGGACAAGAGGTGGGCGGCTGGAAGGGAAAGGAGGAGGTGGGAGGTGTTGGGATTGATTAAGAAAGCATCAAAGGTACATTAATTGGACCCCCCATCCTTACTCATTGTATCAAAGAGACAAAAACCAACCTTCACCCACTCCCCCTCATTTTCCTGCGGCCTGCACCCTCCAAGCTAGAGCAAATAAGTCCTCCATCTCCATTGTTGAAGAAAGCTCAACAAGGAAAGATCCCAAGAAAAAGAATTTAAGTGCTAAAAGTGTGAAGGTTAAGGTAATAACCTTATCATAACTTTTTCTATATGTTTCCCTTCAATCTTATGAGATATATATCATATGGAGGATCCTTGGGATTGTTCTACATGAAAAGAGTGTAGAATGATGGGTTGGAAAGTGGTTCTAAGTCCAAAAACGGATTTAGAAGTCAAAACGACCGGTTCACCGGAAAATAACCTTTTGGGGTTATTTGTATTGATTAAGGTTTTATGATGTTAAAACCTTGTTAGGAACTTGATTAAAGTATCTTTGAGCTTCGCCGGAGTTTCGCCGGAGTTGGTCAAAGTTGGCCGGAGTTGGTCAAAGTTCACCGGAAATAGTCAAAGTTCAACCGCGGAGCGTAGAACACGCTTAAGCTCACTTAAGGTGAGGATGACCGACTATATTGCTTATAATTATTGGGTTAATTTCATAAGATTACCTAAATGAATTATATGTGTTTGGCATGATTTATTTATAATATAACAAAATGCCTAAATGAGATTATTATTGGTTATAAGTAAAAGTGCATAATATACAAATTTATGAATAAATTGTGTATGATTATGTATTATGAATAAAATGGTATAATAGCGTGCAAACTATAAATGAATTGTGATAAATATACTTTTACCTCATGTAAGGAAGTCATGGAAGGATAAAAGTGATATTTTGATATTAGAACCAAGTTATACTTGAATGTGGAATTAAATTGAAATAGCCAAATTACTACGAAATTGCATTGGCTTATTAAGGTTAAATGACTAGTATAGAAATACTAGCTGGGGATGTTAGCATGAAAAGTGATAGAACAAATCCTAGGGGTTTGGATTGTGAATGATGTACCTTAAGTAGTCATATGAAATGTCTTAAGGTAGAAATGAGTAAACGCTAAGTTACCGTAGGAGTGGATCATGAAGGTTACTCATAGTAGAGGAACTCTAGGCATAGAGATTGCTTAGTGAATTAGTATCGTGACTAGAGGAAGCCTCGAGCACGATGAAGAATGACTGGAGGAAGCCTCCAGCATTCGTGTAGGACGACTAGAGGAAGCCTCTAGCGTAACGTAATGTGACTGGAGGAAGCCTCCAGCACAACGTATGTAAGGTGATTAGAGGAAGCCTCTAACACCAAGTGGAGTGACTAGAGTCAGCCTCTAGCACGACAAAACATGACTAGAGGAAGCCTCTAGCATGGTAAACTAATATAGATGGGTGTGGCTTGAAGTCACGGGGAAAGGGTTAAATGTTTCCAAAGTAAACATGGGCCTTCGGGCGATTACTTGACTATATATATAAAGTAAGTATACTTTCAAAAGAGGATAACCACGGGTTATGACCTATAATATAATAACATCCTAGATTGAGGGTCTTGGAAATTGAAACTTTGATTATACTTAGTATAGTTGTCATTGTACTTGTCAAATGCTTCCAAGTACTGACCTCCCCTTCACGGGGGAGGCCACCTCACAGTTTCAGGTAGAACTTGAAGGGTGCTACCATCACCGTTGCTTCGGGCGGATTATCAAGGGGAGGAGACGTGGTTCGTGCTTCCTCCGTTTCTGTTTTAAAACATTCAAATTAATGCTCATGGATACTATTTTCCGAATAATTATTTAGGGCTTGCACGCCCGTGTTTGCCACGTGTGGCTCGAATGCTTGTATTAATATTTCCGCTGCTTAATTAAATGATTTACATTGTGATTGTTTATGGATGTACTAATGTGAATGGTATTCAAGACGCCTTGTATAGTATGGATGAGTTGGACTGCGGTTGACTATTCGTACTGTACGGCGGGTTGTTGACGTGTCCGGGATGGTCCGGGGCGTGACAATTTAATTGGTATCAGAGCCTTAGTCCGTAAACTTCATAATGAAGCTTCAAAATCCCTTTTGAAAATGATTTTGAAAACCATGAGCATAAAAGTTTTGTACTTATAGAACTTTTGGTACTTGAGTTGCAAAGTCTCTAATTGTTAAGATGGTACCCTTAACAATTGGTAGGACGGTGATTTGAGCCAAAAGATGTCTTTAAGTGCCTATCCGTCACTTGACATTTGATACGGGTCTAATGACTCCTCCTCTATCTCTTTCAGAAATGGAACGCACCGGTAAAGTCACCCGACGAAACCCGACTGGCCAGGCGCCGGGAAGGTCCCAACATGGCAGTCGAGGGGCATCAAGGGTGTCTCGGGGGCAGGGCCGTGCAGGCCACTCGCTGACCGTTAGTGACGGTCATGTTGAAACAATTGACGAGCATTATGAGTCCGAGGAGGATTCAACGTACCGACCGGGAACGGAGCCGGTTGAAACCCCATATGATGGGGAAGATGATGACATTAGCGAGGGGAGCGACGATAACGACGCTCTAGAAAGGATTGAGGAATTTCTCCGGCAATATCATCAAGATCGCCAAAGGCGCCGGGCAAGGCGTGCTTCGAGGGGGGCTTCGAGGAGAGGGAGCCGTGTGAGTCCTAGGGGAAGCATAGAACCCCAAGGAGGGCGAGGTGCCGAGGTTCCTATCATAAGAATCTCGAAGTACCTAAAGGAGGCGAGAGACTTGGGATGTAAACCGTTTGATGGAACGGGAGACATCTCCGTGGCGGCCGAGTGGATCAAGAGATTCAATGAAGCGGCCCTGGATATGCAGCTGCCACCGAACATGAAGTTGAGAGTGGCCACAAGACTACTAGAAGGCATGGCGTCCACATGGTGGGACGGAGCTAAAGGGAAGTACGGCGAGGCCGTCACCTGGGAGAATTTCCGACAAGAATTCTTTAGCCAATACTACTCCGACTTTGAAGTGAATTTAAAGAGGAGGGAGTACACAACCTTAACCCAAGGAGGTGAGTGCACAGTGAAGGAGCTTGAGCACAAGTTTAGAAAACTTGCTGAGTTCATACCGGAGTACATTTGTGATGAGAACCGGATGGTGAACCACTTCTGGAACGCCTTGGACCTTGATATACGTGAGAGGGCAACACAATTGCCTAATATGACGTTTAGCCAAGTGGTCGAACAAGGCTTGAAGGGGGAGAAGGAATGGGAGGAAAGGAAGCGAAGAAATGCCGAGGAGGCAAAGAAAAGAAAATGGGAGAACCATGGCCCCCAGGGTTCAAACAAGAAGGGGAATCACGGGGGAGGAGGATCCTTCAGGGCACCCGCACCACCATCAAGGGGGAATCCCAACATGAGTGGGCAGAACTCGGGATCACAAGCCCCGACGAAGCCTAAGTGCAGGAATTGCAAGAGAAATCACGAGGGCAAATGTCGTGATCCCCCACGGTGCTACCAATGCGGAGATACGGGGCACATAAAGCCCAATTGCCCTCAACTTGGTGGGAACCGGTCATCAGGGCCAAGCAGTGCAACCATGGTGAGTAGAAACCGTGGTGGGGCACCCAATGCAGGCACAAACCACGGCGGGGCAAGTACAAGCAACGCACCCTCCGTGAACCAAGGAAGGGCTCAAGCGAGAGTCTACGCGATGACCGAGGCGGATGCGCGAGCAAACCCGGACTCCGTTGCAGGTAATACACTTATTCCCATGTATTTCTAGGCTTAGTTTGATCATATACACCGTTGGGGGTTGAGTTCGGGCCACCCCGGGACCAAACGGAGCGAAATTGGGCGAAATTGGGCGAAATCGGGCTGATTTCTGCCAACGCACTACAGGCTGGGCTGCACGCACGGCCGTGCGTTGCCCGTGCGTACCTCCGTGCGTTGGTGGCAGTAGCACCCCGGAGGAAATTCGCTGCACGCCCGGCCGTGCGTTGTCCGTGCGTACCTCCGTGCGTTGGTGGCAGTAGCACCCCGGAGGAAATTCGCTGCACGCCCGGCCGTGCGTTGCCCGTGCGTCCCTCCGTGCGTTGGGGGCAGTAGCCTCCATTGGTAAAACAAGGTACGCACGACCGTGCGTACCCCCTACGCACGCCGTGCGTGGACCCCTGGCACCTGAAACTTTATTTTTTCGCCCCGTTCTTCTACGTTTGGACCCCCGTTTGATCCCAAACATTAGTATGAACATAATAACATCTTAATGATGTGTAAAAACATTAGAAAATGTATCTTACATGGTGTATGGATGTAGGAACATTAAAGATTAATGGGAGATGTGCGAGAATCCTCATCGATACTGGGGCGCAACGATCATTTGTGAGTGAGGCATTCGCCGGGGGATTCAACGTACCCCTGATACCGATGGCTCAAGCCCTATTGGTATCCACACCCCTAGGGGAAGACATCGAGAGAGATAGCCACTATCCATCGTGTGAGGTGGAAGTGGAGGGCCAAAACTTGTCGTGTGATTTCGTGCCGCTGAGTATGATTGAGTTCGATGCAATCCTGGGTATGGATTGGCTTGAGAAGCATCATGCTAGGGTCGATTGTTACACAAAAGTACTTGAACTCGAAGGCAATGAAGGGGTAACCTTACGCTTCGAGGGGGATAGGGCAAAATCCAATAGTTGTATCATATCCGCTGTGAGGGCTAAGAATATGATGAGGAAGGGGTGTCATGCATATCTAGCATATGTGGTGGACAAAACCAAAGAAGAGACGAGCATTGATGAAGTTAGGGTAGTATGCAAGTATCCGGACGTCTTTCCTAAAGACTTACCGGGACTTCCACCCGATAGGGAGATTGAGTTCGTGATCGAGGTCGAGCCCGGCACCAAACCAATCTCCATACCGCCATACCGTATGGCACCCGCTGAACTTAACGAGTTAAAAACCCAATTGCAAGAGCTTTTGGATAACGGTTTCATCAGACCAAGCCACTCCCCATGGGGAGCACCGGCCCTTTTTGTGAAAAAGAAGGATGGAACACTTCGAATGTGCATTGACTATCGTCAACTGAACAAGGTCACAATCAAGAATAGGTATCCCTTGCCTAGGATTGATGACTTGTTTGATCAACTACGAGGAGCAACCGTGTTTTCAAAGATTGACTTGAGGTCGGGGTACCATCAACTGAAGATTAAGGAGGATGACATACCGAAGAGTGCTTTCCGCACGAGGTATGGGCATTTTGAGTTCCTTGTTATGTCGTTTGGGTTAACAAACGCCCCGGCGGCATTCATGGACTTGATGAACCGAGTATTTCACAAATACTTGGACCGATTCGTGATTGTGTTCATTGATGACATCTTGATCTACTCAAAGAGTGAGGAAGAGCATGAGGAGCACTTGATACTCGTTCTTGAGACACTACGGGAGAAGCAACTCTATGCCAAATTTTCTAAATGTGAATTTTGGCTTAAGGAGATTGGCTTTCTCGGGCACGTGGTTTCGGGATCGGGAATTGCTGTCGACAACAAGAAGATAGAAGCCATCACCGAATGGGAGAGGCCAAAGAACGTCAAGGAAATTCGTAGTTTCCTTGGATTGGCAGGATACTATAGAAAGTTCGTGGAAAAGTTCTCTGTTTTGGCATCACCGTTGACAAAGCTCACTCGAAAAGGAGCTAAGTTTGTATGGGATGACAAGTGTGAGAAAGGATTCACTGAACTGAAGAAGAGATTAACCGAGGCACCGGTACTTGCATTACCCAAACAGGGTATGGGGTACGATGTCTATAGTGACGCGAGCATCCAAGGGCTTGGATGTGTGTTAATGCAGGAGGGGAGGGTAATTGCCTATGCTTCACGACAGTTGAAGAAGCATGAGGTAAATTACCCCACCCATGATCTAGAGTTGGGAGCAGTGGTGTTCGCACTGAAGATTTGGAGACATTATCTCTACGGAGAGACATGTCACATATACACTGACCATAAGAGCTTGAAGTACGTGTTTACTCAAAAAGAGTTAAACATGAGGCAGAGACGGTGGATGGAGTTGATAAAGGACTACCACCTAGTGATTGAGTACCATCCAGGCAAGGCAAATGTAGTGGCAGATGCTTTGAGCCGGAAGAGCTCAACTGGGGCATTGATAGCTAATTTGAGGGCATTAAGAGCCCAACTGGAGGTGTCCAGTAATGGTGCCTTATTGGCACGGTTTGAGGTGAGACCTACTTTGCTTGATGAGATCAAGAAGGGTCAGGAAACTGACGATGAAATTGTGAAGATCAGGGAACGCTTGCAAGCGGGACCGGTGGAGGACTTCAGAGAAAGAGACGACGGTCTTTTACTATTTCGTGACCGAGTGTGTGTGCCGGCGGGTGATGAGCTCCGAAAGTCCATCTTAGAGGAAGCTCATTCATCGGCTTATGCCATGCACCCGGGGGGCACGAAGATGTATCGCGATTTGAAAGAAAGTTACTGGTGGTCCGGTATGAAGAGAGAGATAGCCGAGTACATCAGTCGGTGCCTTACTTGTCAGCAAGTCAAGGCAGAGCATCAGCATCCAGCTGGGTTATTACAGCCACTTTCCATTCCAGAATGGAAGTGGGAGCATGTGACTATGGATTTCGTGGTGGGGTTGCCACGGACCGTGAACAACTATGATGCGGTATGGGTAGTAGTTGATAGGCTCACCAAGAGTGCTGACTTTTTGCCTATTAACATCACTTACCCTCTTGAAAGGTTGGCGAAGCTATACACGGAGGAGATTGTGAGATTACATGGAGTCCCAATATCCATTGTCTCGGATAGGGATCCACGATTCACATCCCGATTTTGGCCAAAGTTTCAAGCATCTCTGGGGACTAAACTGAAGTTTAGCACAGCTTTTCACCCACAGACGGATGGACAGTCCGAGCGGGTGATACAGATTCTGGAAGACATGCTTAGGGCATGTGCTTTGGAGTTCCAAGGAAGTTGGGACAAACATTTGGCCCTAGTGGAGTTTGCCTATAACAACAGTTATCAGGCAAGTATTGGCATGCCTCCATACGAGGCATTGTATGGGAGGAAGTGCAGAACACCGTTGTGTTGGGACGAGGTTGGCGAGGCCAAGCTCGAGGGGATTGAACTTGTTGAAATCACCAAGACTAAAGTGAAAGTCATTCAGGATAGACTCAAGACTGCCCAAGATCGGCAGAAGAGCTATGCCGACAAACGACGCAGGCCATTGGAGTTCGAGGTCGGTGATAAGGTCTTCCTAAGAATTTCTCCTTGGAAGGGTATCATCCGATTTTTATCGAGGGGAAAACTCAACCCCCGATACATTGGTCCGTTTGAAATCCTTGAAAGGATTGGGGCGGTGGCTTACCGTCTCAAGCTGACGCCGGAACTTGAGAAGATACACGACGTGTTTCATGTATCGATGCTCAAGAAATACGTGAGAGATCCATCTCATATTCTTGAGAAGCCACCGGTGGAGATACGTGAAGATCTACAATATGCAGTGGAACCGGTAAAGGTTGTGGGTCAACAGGTGAAGAAATTGAGGAACAAGGAGATTCCTATGGTAAAAGTCCTTTGGAGGAGTGATCGGGTCGAGGAAGAAACATGGGAGACTGAGGTTTCAATGAGAGAGCAATACTCTTTTCTCTTCGATTAGACACGTGGATTTCGGGGACGAAATCCCAAATAAGGGGGGGTGAACTTGTAACACCGTCCCCAAGTGTATT